AAGGGGAGAGAGCCACCTACACACCTTTCTGGTCCCAAGGCAGAGAGTGAGGGGTGGGGTGGGCGGAGCCAGCTATTTCCAAGCAAACCTGCTGAAATGAGGCCTTGGGCCCTTGTCGTCACATTTAGGCTGGGCGGGGCGGGGCAGGAGGGCACGGGAAGGAACCTAGCTTGGCCTACAGGAGTGTCACTGGAGGAGGGGAGTCCCCTGAACAAAGGAGGCCACCAGCCTCTGGGAGCAAAGGAGGGACCCCTCAAAACCCTGCCCCAGAGCCTAGCTCCTCAAGGGGCCACCCTCGGGCCCCTCTGCTGCCTGGACACTCTGTTGGTCCCTGCTGTGGGCGGACAATCCCCTCCGCGTCTGCAGGCACCGCTCCCACGTGTACACCTGTGCCACAGACCGAGCGCGTTCACACACGTCCTGCCCACCAGGGGCTGAGTTCACGGTCGCCTCTCCCGCCGTGGGTATCTGTCTGTCTGGAGTCTCAGAGGGGTCCACCCTGCGGGACCCTGATGTGGACGCCCCAAGCTTTAAGGCACCCTGGGGGCTGATTTGTCCTTGTTGGACCAAGGAGGTGGGTCCAGCGGGGATGGCCGCCTCCCCCGCCCTGCCCCTTTGTCTGCCCCTTCCCATCCAGCAGCTGGCCCCCTCCCAAGTCCTGCACACTTGTTTCTGTCCTTTGTTTTCCTCCCTGGCCAAATCCCCACGGCTTCTTTGGTCATTAACCTCCTCCTTTAATTAGCTTAGTGGGGAGGAAAGTGGAAGCAGGGCAAATTCAGGGGTGGGTGTCTAGGGGGAAATGTCATTTGGGTGGGGACAGGAAGGCTCAGACCAGCTGGCGACAAAAATGCTTGGCACACAATAAGTCCGATGCAACTGTTTGCCGTTTATTAATGTGAAAAACAGTCACCTGGTCCACAGAGTAGGAATCTTCCCCCCAAGAAGAGCCCCGTGGGACCCAGTACTACAGCTCCCACAATCCAGGGGCCCAGACAGGAGAGGGGACAAGAGACAGACAACAGCCCACTTCCGCAGGGCCTTGTCCCTCCATCTCTTCCCCTCCTACCCTTGCTCGAGGTGGCAGAACCCAATCCCACTTATGCTAAGTCCCTGGTCCAGGGGGCACCCCTTCCCTCAGTCAAGGCTGCTCAGCCCTGAATCCTCAGCGTAGCAAAGGAGCTAGAGCTCCACCTCCAAAGCGTGCCAACTCCCAGCCCCTCCTGAGGCCCCCCTCCCCCAAGGCCCCCCACTGTGGCTCCCCACTCCCATCCGGGTGTGTGTGCACAGTCTTTCCCAGAAGCAGTTTAGGGAACTGGACGTCACAGACAGTGCCAGGTCTCAGAGGTCATCTCATCTGTTCCCTGCCTCCAAGCAGGACTTTGCCCCGCAAGCTTGATCAGATTTTTGGTTTCCAAGGCGCTCCAGAAAAGGACACCTGACCACCACCGCTCATGCACCGGCTCCTCCAAAGCTCTTTGGGGAAGTTCTTCTTAGAGTCTGACCTCCGGCCCTCATGCTGCGGTGCTCCCCTCCCCGCCCCACCCGCCTTGGGAAAGACCCAGGCATGACGCGGGTGACAAAAGGGATGCTGAAGACAGGGGGTGGGGGGGAGAAAAGATCGCATTGCGCTTCATCTTCCCCAGACGCCTTACAGGAGAACCCAGGTGTCCGATTCATGCCTTAAAACCTTATTTCGACTTTCGCCAAATTTCCAGGGCCAAAGGAACTGAATTCACTGGTTTCAAACGGGGGGGCGAGGTGGGTGAGTGGAATGATGGTGGAGGCGGCGAACGGATCCCCAAGCTGTGTGCGCGGCCCAGGCCCCAAGGAAGTCGGGGTCCCCGGGCGATCGCGTCTCTCTTCCCTTCTCCGGGGGCCCCCACAGCTCGTGACTCTCACCCGAAACTGTTCAGCCGCACCGTGCCTTTAACCCTTCCGCTGCCTCTCTTCTCCGCCCCCCACTTCTCTCCCTCCACCCCGTCACCGTCCCCACCCCATCACCCCACAGTCCTCCCGACTCCCCTCCACTGACCAGAAGGCCGTGAACCCACTCACCTCCCAGCTGGCGCCTCTGAGATCTCCGAGTCTGGGGGGCGGGTGGGGAGGAGGGGGGACGGCTCGCCGCTCGGGGACGAGGGGACCCCGTCTTTTGCTTGG